TGAAGCCATACTGCTGCTCACAGATATCCACTTCCTTTCTTATCCTAGCTTCCACTGCTCTTTCCCATAGCTTCATTGTGTGGCTCATCAACTTTATACCTCTGTAGTTGCTACAACTCTGCACATCACCCTTGTTCTTAAAGATCGGCACTCGTACACTTCTCCTCCATTCCTCAGGCATCTTCTCACTCTCTAAAATCCTGTTGAACAAACTAGATAGAAACTCCACTGCTGTCTCTCCTAGACACTTCCACACCTCTACAGGTATGTCATCTGGACCAACAGCCTTTCCACTCTTCATTCTCCTCAGAGCCTTCCTCACCTCATCCTTTCTAATCTTTGCTACTTCCTACTTCCTACCTAATATTCACCTCTTCCCCCTTCTTTCCCTCTCATTTTCCTCATTCATCAAAATACTCCTTCCATCTCACTTGTTAGCACCTTTCCATCTCGGTCTTTAATCGCCCTTATCTGTTGCACATCCTTTCCATCTCTATCTCTCAGTCTTGCTAATCTGTCCTTCTCACCTTCCCTCGTGTCTAGCCTGGCATACAAGTCATCATACACTTTCTGTTTCTCCGTTCAATTTCCAACTTCAAACTGATCACCCTGTCTGACACTCTTTTCACCTCTAAAACATTCCTCATGAGCTCCTCCTTCAGGATCACTCCTACCTCATTTCTCTTCCTGTCCACACCATAATAAAACAGTTTGTATCCCCATCCAATGCTACACGCTTTGCTACCCTTCCACCTGGTCTCCTGCACACACAGTCTATCTACCTTCCTTCTCTCTATCATGTCCGCCAGCTCTCTACTTTTCCCTGTCACTGTCCCAATGTTAAGGGGTCCATATTCTCAGACCTATACTCCTGCCTCCTCTGTCGACAAACCCTTCTGCCTTCTCTCGTTCTTTGACCAACAGTAGTCCAATGTCTGCCAGCACCCTGTAGGTCAACAGCAAGAATATAGATTTTACCTTAAGGCAGGTATGTTTAGCAGTGTGATTTGTGGGTATTCTGAAAGCAGGATGACAGGAGGGGATTAGCACATCTTGTTTTTGGTACTGTATGTGCCTGCTTGCATTACATTCACACTAAACCCGCTTGTTGGTCAAGGTCAAAGTGTTTATTTTGTCATATGCACAGTTAGGAAATGTGTTTCCCTGTACAATGAAATTCTTACTTTGTTGTCCACATGAATGCCACAAAAATACAAGTGAAATATAAAGTAGATAAATAAGTAACACAAAATCTAAGGCACTTTAAGCAGCAAATGCAGGAATATAATAAAAATATATAAGAATATAATAGAGAATGTATGCTGCATGGGAGCAGCATGTGCAGCAGTCAACAGGGAAGAGATAATGCACTCTGTTTACAAACAAATTGACAGTGTTCCTAACCTAAAAGAAACTTCCTCTTTCTGCCTATTGGAATTACTGTAAGTATAAACTGATGTGGGCATTCTCTTTGAAATCAAAGTATCTTTTTAAGATGGATTTTTCCCTTCCTCACAGCCAGCCCCCCCAGATTTGTCTCTGTGGAGGAGCTGATGGAGACGGCTAAAGGAGTCACTAACATGGCTTTGGCTTATGAAATAATGGTCAACCAAGATTTTCAAGTTAAACCTGCGGAGCTTCCTGAAGGAAGGTGAGCATTTGATTTGATACTATAACTGTCACTTGAGTTTTTATCTTTATGTGACTTCTTTGATTTTGTAAAATTAACAATGGGTCATTTGCCCCTATACAGTTTGGAACGCAGAGTGAAGGAGATCATGCACAAAGCATTCTGGGATTGTTTGGAAGCGCAATTGAAGGAGGATCCACCGTCGTACAACCATGCCATCAAACTACTTGCTGAGATTAAAGAGGTGATGAAGGGGGGTCTTCACCATAGTTAGGCATTCAAGACTGTCCTTCTGTCCCACTTTCATCCCTGCCTACTTTCACTCATTTTGTCTTTCTTTTCTTGCCTGTCTTCAATCATCCTCTTTTCTCTGCTCCTCCAGACACTACTGTCCTTCTTGCTCCCGGGCCATGGTCGTCTGCGTTCCCATATTGAGGAAGTTCTGGACTTGCCCCTAATCCAGCTCCAGGCTGAAAATGGAGCTCTTGACATCAGTGGACTGTCCCAGTTCATCATTGGAATGATGGGCTCATTGTGCGCCCCCTGCAGAGACGAGGATATCACTAGGCTAAAGGAGATCACCGATATTGTGCCTCTGCTCAAGTAAGCCAAGAGATGAGAGGGACTATATTAGTGCCGCATGTTCCGGGCCTTAGGATATTTTTAGTTTGTAATTTTAATGCAGTGCAGGGTGCTCTGGACTGACATTAACCTAGTGGGTGGTAAGAGACTGAGCAAGCAAGACCCCATTTGTAATGTAGACTTAATGAGAAATCAATTAGAATTTGAACTGCTGCTCAGTGAGACATTTTAAAGAGTGCAATTTCATTATAATTGCTATATGCAGAGGTGGAAAGTAACTAATTATTTTTACTGAAGTACTGTAGTTAAGTACAATTTTGAGATATCATTATTTTACTGAGTATTTTCATTTTCTGCTACTTAATACTTTTCTATATTTCAGATAAAATACTTTACTTTGTACTCACTACATTTACTTGATATCTTTAGTTACTAGTTACTTTTCAGAAAGAGGTTAATAACAGTATAATCAAAAGATGTATTGATCCTTGGTGTGAAATTCACAAGCTATCCAGCAGTAATTTAAATTATAAGCATATAAGACAGTTAAAATTAGCTCTATCTTTACTAACTGCAACATTAATTGTGATGTACATAATACTGCATATAATCAAATAATATGATGTACATCAGTATAAACTGTACCAATTTGCATAATGAATACTTTTACTTTTTGTACTATATTTATATCTGCTAATGCTTTGGTACTTTCACTTAAGTAATAGTATGGATAACAGAGTATTTTGCACTGTGGTATTGCTGCATTTACTTAAGTAAACAATTTGAGGTCTTTTTCCACCACTGGTTCTATGTATATTTTCCCAGCTTCCTTCTATCTCTATCATTCTCTGTTCTTCTGCCTCAAAGGGCAATATTCTCTGTTCTGGACCTGATGAAGGTGGACATGGCTAACTTTGCCCTGACCAGCATCAGGCCTCATTTGATGCAGCAGTCTGCTGAGTATGAGAGGAACAAGTTCCAGGAGTTTCTGGATAAACAACCTAGTAAGTTGCTCAAGTGGTCAATTGTAGTGACAAACTCACACAAAGTCTCGTCCACCTATGGAGCTTCTCCATGCTCCACAGTGTTTTAGCCTCTTTCAGCTAAAATGCTAAATTAACATGACGCCAAACAAATGCTAATGCTTGATGTTAAAGAATCAGGTGTTTACAAATGGTGTTGCAAAAAATATATAAATACAAATAAAAATGAAAAACAAACAAATAAATAAATAATGCAGCTTTAATTAAGCAGCATACATTTCCATGGTTGTGCTTTTTATGTTCTTTGGTGTTAAATGATTGGTAGATTCAGTTTTCTTTCAAAGTTATTCAAGCATAACTGATGAGTGTGCATAACACTTGTAACAGAATCTGAAATGTGAAGAATGTTTTATATTGTAAATTGATTATCTTGGTTTTGGACCTGGTGCCTTTCTGTGCAGAGTTTGCATGTTCTCCCCGTGCTTGCGTGGGTTCTCTCCGGGTGCTCTGATTTCCTCCCACAGTCCAAAGACATGCAGCATAGATTGATTGGTGTCTCTAAATTGCCCATAGGAGTGATTGTGTGTATGAGTGGTTGTTTGTCTGTGTGTTAGCCCTGCAATGGACTGGCGACCTGTCCAGGGTGTACCCCGCCTCTCGCCCGCAGCTGGCTGAGATTGGCTCCAGCCCCCCGTGACCCCGTTTGGGACTAAGCAGTTTAGTAAATGGATGGATGGATGGTTTGGGACTTTGAAAAATATTAATGGGCTTAATTTCACCATTTGACACACCAACCAATTACTTGATTAATCAGAAAAATAATTGTTGCAGGCAGCACTAAAGTACAGTACAGTCTGGTTTATGCTCTATACAATATGCAAAACATGCAGAAAACTGTCTTAAAATGCATTAATCAAATTGGAAAAGCAACTGTGAATAGTTATGGGTAATGATGTAAAGAATAAAAGGTTCCTTTGCTCTTTAGATGCCTTAGACTACACTAAGAAGTGGCTTGAGGACACAGTGAAATGCCTGAGAGAGGCTGGAACGGATGGCTCTGGTGCTGCCTCATCTGATCCTTCCTCACCCCTCCCACTCAGTGTCCATAATCATGCCTACCTACGCCTGTTGAAGTGGGACCATGCCTCAGACCCATTCCCAGAGGTACAGAGGTCATTAGGTCTCTGTGATTTTTTTTTTCATCTCTTGTGTTTGCATCAAAATGTTCCTCTTCTTCTTGTTTGTATAGACAGTGTTGATGGATCAGGTTCGGTTCCAGGAGATGCAGCAGGAGGCTGATCAGTTAGTTCTGCTCTCCTCTGTGCTCCTCATAGTCTACACCACGACAGGGGAGGCCATCTCCGGCCTGCCAGGGCTGATGGAGACTCTTAAAACCATTGTCAACGTCATGCTTGCAGACATGCACACACTGTGAGTACAAAAATCTTTGAATTTATTACATTTCTGACCACTCCCACAGACTGGTTTTAATACAGTGAAGCCTCTATATGAATAATCAGTGCAGGATTACAGTCAGGGTGGAGTGGCTTCAGTGTGATTTAGCCATTTGATTGGGGATCTTTAAGCTTTTAAAAGGAACTTTTTAAGCACAAGTTTCACATCTCTTAGCCAAGTTGTGTTGCTACATTACATATTTTTTTCTTACTGATCCTAAGGTCTTTCAGTGCAGAGGAGGCCTTAGCAACCATCGGGGAAAAACTGTGTGTTGAGCTGAGTCAGTGTCTAAGCCAGCATGGCTACTCTCCATTCTCTGCTGACCGCAAGAGCACCCTGAAGGGACAAATCTCTGCTACCATCCAGCCAGACAACACGGTTCGAAAGCTGATGGGTAGGAACACTGACATCTATGATGACTTTAGGTGAATCCCAATTCCCTTATTTTATTGTACCTCGGTCCTTGAGCCTCGCTCAACCCGGAAGTCATTCCAGTCCGCCATGATGAAGGACGTTCCAGAGCTCTTATTTCTGCTCTGAAGAGTGAGAACTGAGGAACGAGGAGGCTCCCTGGAAGAGCTATAACCAAGGATATATAAGTGCAACCTTTGCAGAAATCTACACATTGACACCCCACCCTATCTGAAATTAGTATCTCATTGAATCTTGGTGCCTTCAGTCCACATGTCGAAGTGTCCTTGGGCAAGACACTGAACCCCCAAGTTGCCCCCGATGGTTAGAGCCATCAGTTGAGTTGGCGCTGCAGATGGCTGCCTCGGTTCTGTACCGGAAACAATTTCCTTGTGTGTAACATACTTGGCCAATAAAGGTGATTATCCTTATTATCGGACAATTCACACAAAGGATCAGAGTAGACGTCTCACGTCAGTTAAAACATGCTTCCTCGTTCCTCTCTCCTTGCAGTCTGTCCTTGCATCTTAAGTGGGTGGGAGTAAGATGCAAGGAAAAGAGGGAAAGTGAGAGAAATATGGATGCAATTAGGGGAATTGGGATTCACTTTTAGAGTTAGAAGCACAGCCAGCAGCATGTGATCGACTGTGTGGTCTGTGTACATACATATGTGGCAGTGACACAGAATTCTTCTCCTGTCAGATTCTCGGGTTCAGGCCTACCTCCTGGCTTGCCTGGAGTCCAGTCAACATAGGACCCCTCCTCCTCTTCCCGGAGGTCTGGCTCCAGTCAGCAGGGAGCTGAAGGAGCTTGCCGTTCGCTTCAGTCGTCTTGTCAACTTCAACAAGCTGGTCTTCTCCCCGTTCTACCAAAAGATTCTCCAGAAAATAGTGACAGCAGGAGAGAGTTCAGGCACAGAGACATAAACACTATAGTGTAGAGTAAAAGTGATGCAGAGAGTGGTCTATAGTTTTACAGTTTCCCCTCACTAGGAATGGTTAGGAATTAGAGAAATAGTTTAGGAAGCTGATCTGTAACGACTGACATAACCAAAAAAAAACAAAAACAAACAATTGCTGCCATCTCAGTTGCACTAATTCACAGTGACGCTTATTTAATTAATGTCCAGCCTCATAATTGCGATCTCACAATAGTCATCTTGCATAAACGGAGGTATTAAATAAAATAGTTTGTTACTCGAGATGTGCAGAGTATAGACATGTAGTATTTGTTTCTAGAAAAAAACTGACTAGGTACAGTAAAATTAACAAAACTAAGATATAATTAAAGATTAAGTCAACAAGAAAAGGATCAGGGTCTTTATTTATCAAGTGTCTGAGAGAAGGAAATGAGAATGAAACATATTTGTCCTGTTTTTAGACCTAGATATGTACATTTCAATGTCCCTAACCCAAGAAGAGGCCAGCATTCAGGCAGAGACATGTGGGCACATTCCATGGAAGAAGGGAAAACTGGGGAACACTTGGTGGCAATGAGCTTCTTAAAGGAATGGTTTGACATTTTGGGGAATTATTAGCTTATTAAGAACTACATGAGAAGATCAATGTCATTGGTACATACACAGCCAGCTATGGATTATCTTAGCACAGGGACTGCCAAAGGGAAAATGGCTAGCTTCGATTAGTCCAAAGGTTACAAAGTCAACCCACCATCACATTCAAGGCTCACAAATGAATATGATATCTCATTTGCTTACTCTGCAACAACTGAAGTACAAAAATAAATTTTGTGACTCATCTTGTGTGGGATGCAAAGGAGAACATACGAAGTCTCTGCAGAAATTACAACCAGCTGCTGGATTGCTCAGCAGCATCTACAGTAATACATAGGTACAGTAATATGTGCAGATTAATTCATTTCTCATGCACACAAGTTTGCAAACATTGTAACTGAAAGGGGTTTAGCATTCCCTCAACACATCTCCTTCAACAGAATGTGTGTGTGTCTCAGCCTGAATCTCAACTTCTGACTTGTCACCTTTAACTGAGATTTTTAAGGTTAAGGACACTGATAAACTTTGGACAGGACCAGAATGGCTGTGCTAATTGATGCCTGGCTGTAGCCTCATATTTAGTGCACAGTGATATTGATTTTTTTCCACATATAAACATCAGCAAAAAAGCAAATAAGTGTATTTCCCAAAATGTTTAACAGCCCATAGTTTAAAATTCTGTGACCTTTGGCCTGAATGTCGAAAGCCTCACCGAGGGTCTGACTCTTTGTAGTGGCTCAAAAGGAATTTAAAGATTTGCAGAGCAACAGGGGGCTCAAGCATATGCAGTGTCTAAATGTTATCACTAAATTCAAAAAGTCGTTCAAAAAATGAGTAGTGTCATTGTGACACAGTTGCACAGAAACACAAACATAAAAACTTTTTATATCCACTCTAGATATAGAGATAAGATACTTTACAGTATATTAGAGAAAAGTAAATAAATAATAAATTGTACTGAAGGGAATCCGGACCAGTGTTATGGACCAACTTCAACTGTTGCTTTTTAAGTTCTTTGTGTCTGTGTTTTTTTAATTAAGTTAAATTATTTATAACATTTCAGATGGTTTATAAAATGTTTACATTGTTTACCTTTGACAAACATTTTGCTTTGCTTTTGTGTCTAACATTTCTACTGCGTATTTTACTCACTACAGAGTAATTACACTCGAAGAATGGCATCTGTAAATGGTCCTACAACATGCCAATAAAGCATTGTTTGTCCCACACAGCAGTCAGGCTTTTCTTTTCTACATCTAGTAGGGTTTTCTCCTGAGAGATTTCAGAGAGCCAGGTGAAACTGACTGATGCTGTTCTTCATCAAACACCCTTTTATTGGAACACTTGACTAGATCATGTTATGATTGTGGCCTTGTAAGCTTATGAGGTCACCGCCACTTCATTCAGCACTAAATTTGTGGCGACTGAACCACTGGTGTGATGTTGCTTTCTATACTGAGCATTATGTGAAAACAGCTATAGGAACCTGTCATTGTCATTTCCACTACACTAAGTGGCTCACATAAGATACCTAAATCAGAAGGCAGGTGGAGCCAGAGTTCAAATTAACTATTTCATATAACTGGGACTTGTATTAAAAATGCAATATTAGGTACAACTGTACTTAATTTTGCATTATTATGCATTGAAGTGCATACAATTGTATGCACTTCAGTCCAACACTCCCACTTTCACATCTGTTTATGAAGCTCAAAATGTTTCAATTTTTGTGAAATTTTCATAAATGTATAAATTCTATTATATTTTTATGATTGAGGTCATAGCTAAAGGTGGTGTTGTACTTGACTAGACTATATTCAGAGGTGTTAAGAAATATTCTGACCCTGTCATGTATGCACTGTAGCTGGGCAGGACAAAAATATAGAGACATCTCTGCAAATTTGGCTGTGTTTTAAAACTGGACCACGTTATCTTCAAGCAGCCATTGCATTTGAATCTGGTCTGTTGTGGTGCTAACATCGAGTCCTGTCCTGAACAACAATGTTTGAATGGTTTTGTCTGTGAGCATAGTGACTAGCTGATTTTCTGCCATTCTGTGTCCCAGTTTTGGTGTTTATGTGTTTTGACTTGTTTTTAAGTGACTGTGAAATTTTAGTGAACTTTGTAAATCCCAAATGGAAAATGAAACTGGCCTAACACAGCCCCACATGCCTTGAATGGAACCTGTTCTGGTCTGATCAATGCTTTAGCAAGTTTTCCTGTTCCAGTGTGGGTATTTGTTCATAACTGTTAAATTCTCACTTACTGTTGGAGTCCTGTCCTTTCCTAGCTGTATTGTGAATCTTATAAGAAAGAAATGTGTTCTTCACTGATGATTTGAGAAAAGCCTCCCCTGCCTTTTAGTCAGTCAGTGGGCATTCACGTGGCATAACCCAGATACCACCTGCAGTTCTGTGCCTGGCTCAAGGGCACTGGCAGGACTATCAATGCCTAATATGCATGTCTTAAATGTTATAAAGGAATAATCATTTTTCATAAAAAACATTTTGGGATATACTGTACAGTGAGAAAAGCACAGATCGAATCAAATCAGTTATGGCAAAATTAGCCATAGCCATACCTGGCACCAACTTTTTTTAATAAAAAGAATTATGCACTGCTGCAGCACAATAAACTAGGATAAATGTAATAGAAGTAGCCCTCACACACAAACACACCCACAGAAGGTAGAAAGAAAAGAATTAAAAATCATTCTCATCTGATAGTATACTTTAGATGTGAAAATGTCTCATTGAATTTGCAATACAAAAATTAGCTAAGCCAACTGGCATGCACTTCAGGGGCCCCTGAGGGTTTTAGATCTAAGGCAAATCCCCATTTAGTTGATAATCCAACCATGTGTATGAAAGGATGAGGTATAGTTTAACAATAGATGTAACTGGGAATAGAAAAAAGTGATAAAGCTTTATTTTATTTCTGAATAATTTCTGGAAGGTTTCTGGTAAAGAACCATCTACAGACAGAGACAAAGTTCTGAGACAGTTTATTTCGTTTATTCCTGTTGTGCTGAGTTTATTGTATTGGATTCCAGATAAATTTTGATGAAAGAAATTTGCTCATTTTAAACCCCAGTTAATATGTACTATTCATTTATTATTTGAAATGTTATCATTGATGCTAAATTGTATGGTTTGTATACAAATTTTACGCTTTGCAGATGTAGCTCACCTTCTGTCCTTTGAATAAAAGCCTTAAGTTTGTGTTAATTTAGCATTTAGAAACGACTCTAAGTGTACCAACTAATCACTTACTAGTTTTACTTATAATTAGTACCAAATGATATGGTTTCCTTCTAGGAAACTTATTAGGAAATTGGAACTGAAGTGGAATTTACAGACCTGTAAAATAAAATGTTACTAAAGTTGACATACAAATTAGATAAGAATATTTGAATGATCCAAGTAAATAAATGTGGAGTATTAAATACAGTTTAATCCAAATATATCTAATGCAGTAAAATATGCGAGTCAAATGGTTTTTACAATATGATAAACAGCACTACTCCCCTCCCTCGCTCTCTCCCACATTCCCCACAGGCAGAGGATAAGCAAGTAGCTAGCAACAAGCTAGCAACAAGCTAGCGAAACCTGCACCACAGCAAGTGGCCAGTAGTTACCTCTGTCGAGAAGGAGGCGTATTAGAATGCAAAAGTTTAGAAACACGGATTACTTGTCTTGAGTGGACACAAGAGCGACGTTTGGTGAAACCTGACAGCTGTCGAAACCATGGTTCATTGCTGGTTTTCTTAATAGCTAGTTGTTTGCGTTAATTTTGAGGTTCAAATGTGCGAAAAGTCGCTCGGTCTCTCCTCGTCGTTGAACAAGATGGCACCAACAGCATCATCGTTATTATTACAGGGTTTGACGGTGGTGCGGGACCTTGTCGCTAACCTGTCCCTTAACGCTCTGGGTGATACGATTTGCTGGTCTTACTGAAGGTATGTTCTCTTATCTGACCAGATATAATGTTAAATACACTTTCTGTGTTGCCCTGATGTTTGACTATTTCATCGTTTTATCGTTGAAAGGACTTCGCTAACAGCTAGCTAGTTAGCTGTTAAGCTAGCCAACTTCAGTTTGCACCCTTTGGCAAACGTGTTAGCAGCAAAAGCTAATTAACTTAGTTAAAGCAAATGGGGAATTATTGTCTACATGTCTATGAACAGCATGATACTGCTTGATTAGGTTTGAGTAAGTTAACTAGCGTTATGTATTTTGTGAGACGTTAACGTTGCACTTGTGGACATAGATTACGTTTATTAACGTTACGTAAAAATAACGCAGCTCATGTGTCACAGTAAGCACGTTATAACTTGTCTAGGTTGGTTGTTAAATTTAGGTATGCATAAGTTGTTATCTATCTTGTGTAGTGTCATACACCCATTATTCAGCTGCCTGTCACTTAAAGCATAAGTTTCAACAGGTGTCTAGGCTGGTGGTGCCCGTCCCCCAAGTACACCCACATTTATGTACACACACCACCCCTCCCATATGTTAACTGTCTGCTAGATTGATCAGTAACAAATTGCGTGTACAGCTGGCATTCTTTTACAATTGTGACATACACCACAAAGACACATGCGCACATTCACACCTGTGTCATGATCTCCATTTCAGGCTTAGGTCTTGTCACCCTGTGAGATATCAAGCTACCTAGTTTGGCAGTGAGAGGAAAGAGAGGAGGTATCACAGCTGTCTGTGCAAATGTTCCTCTGACAGAGGGTATGGCACCTTGGCAAATGTGCAGATATTTGCACTGTACCAGCCATATGGTAGTGGTTCTTTTGCCTTATTGCAAGTTTTTGACAGATTATGATTTTGAGCGTTACTTATCAGTGGGAAGTAGGGTTGCAAAATTCTGGGAATTGGCATTTGAACCCAAGGACCACATCTAGTCAAATATGCTTGATGATTTTACTGCTGTAAATATATTTGATTTATGTTATTAAAGTTTAACTGGTTTAACACTAAAGTTTAACTGGTTTAACACTAAATCAAAATGTGTTTTTATACAGTAGCTAGGTAGGAAGGGGACATGGAGGTCCAGGAAGAGGAGACCTGAAAGGATTGCAAGGAAAAATGCAGAAACATGGGAAACATAGTGGGAAGAATTTTTACTGTTCTAGATGCCTCTGTTGACTGCAAGAATTTTAATTATAGCTTCCAGTTTGTTGTATAGAACATTAATGAGAAGCAGAGCTCCTACATTTGTTTACCAGTTGTTACAGTAGTAGTCAGCTCAGGTTTGCACTGTGAGTTTTGTATCCAGCCATATTTTGCAGGTTAAAAGAAAGGTTTGGTCAAAACAGTCAGTGGCTGGTAATCTCTTTCAGCAGCATATCTGTTAAAAATGGCCAGCCCTACAAGTCATGAGAAGTGAAGTGTGCTGTATTGTAATGTTGCCGCTGAGGCACACCCCTGTGCTTGTCTGAGCCTGTGTGTGACAGCTTCACTAGTTCGGAAGGCTGTCAGCAGGCCTTTCTTGCCAAACAAACCTTCACACATAAGACAACTAGCTTCATTAATGTGTGATGTAACCTTAAAACTGGAATCAGATGAGTCTGAATGCAAACTCAGACACCATCTATATGCCTGTCTTTGGTAATATTCAGGAAGTGTGGCTGAAAGGCTTGGCCTTGGCTTGTTTTCAGCAGTTATCATGGTGTCATGACTTGCTGCAAGGACAGGAATTTAAATAGTTTGGAACTTGACAATAGTGCATTTATTGTTTAAAGCCTGATATGCACAGTCATGTGTGACACCCTGTTTGTGATATTCTCCATTTAGTATCAAGTCATAAAATAGTCAGATAGTATTAAATCTGTGTACAATGGAAAAACCATATGGAATCATTTTGTTTTAGCTCAGGTTCAGGGGAACATTTCCAGAACATGTATATTAAAACATCACAAATCAGATTATCTACTAAACCAACTTTGTGTCAGACAGAGGTAACCTTTAAAAGTAGATGTAGACATACAGGGCTCTAGAATAACATTTCATACTACTGGCACTGGTGTCTCCAATCTCAGATGGTGGCACCAGTGCCAGATTGGGTAGCACCACTTCCGTTTTTCAGTGTAATGCAAAAGAATCAGCATTTTCCCCAAATAATTTTAAATGCTCTTACCCTCCAATGTGCATGTCCGGTATTTATAATAAATTCACAGAGAGACTTATGGAACACAACAAATGGGAAAATCAGTCAGGAACAAGTTTGCACCTCTTTTGTTGTAGTCACTGTAGTGCTCTATAGCCTAGCAGTCAACATTATGATAATGACAGTGACGACGAAGATGGTAATGCGGCTGTTATATTTCAGTTTAAGTACAAACTGATGAATTGTGCGCTTTGCCATTTGTATATGTTTATTTGTAGCTCCTTTTTTGAAGAAGAAGAAGAAGAATTTCTGCTCTTCGCTGATGTCTGTGCACATCTCAGCTCTCTCACTCGCCTGGCTAGTGCAGCTCATTTCTGGGCTAAAGTTACTAGTTACAACTAATCAATAATAAAAATGACTGGCAATTCATTTAATTATTAGTTTGTTGGTTTTAGTCACATACTATAACTGTGTGAGATGACTGGGTGACTACGTCAGCAAGGCATATTAGAACATTTGAAAAACGGTGGAAGCAGGGCAGAAGTTACAGTAGAGAAAAGTGAATGACCAGAGCATTTTATTTTACAACCAGACAGAAGACTGTCCAGCACAAAATATGCAAAACGTATCTGTTCTGGCAGGGGAGTATGACAGTAATGCATTATGCTGTATTGTGATGCCAATTAGCCTATAGGCTACAACAGTGGACTGTGTATCATAGGCTGCTTATAATGGGTGTTAAATGCATTTGCATTTGTATTCCATTCTAGCTAAACATGAAACACATGTAAAAATACAAGTATTACAGCTATCATCCACAACATTAAAACCATGAGGTAGTTTTAATGTTGTCTATCTGTGGCTATGAAGCCTCATTCAGCCAACTATGATGCACTGTGTGTTCTGACATGTCAGTCATTGCCAGCATTACATTTTTCCCATACTGGCTCTGTCTACCACAACATTAAAACCACCAGCAATAAGAAAAACTAAGTTATAATGGTGTGTGCAGGAACATTGAGGACACATGCAGGTTCATGAGGATGGTGCAGAGTACATAGTCTAACTAGAGTAAATGAGTAAATGTGTTGAGGATCAGTTTCGTTAGGTAGGTAAAGCGAATTAAGCTCTTCCCTAACTTTAGGAACAAAAAGCTTTCTGAGGAGCATCAGTAATGAGCCCCCTACTAATGTTTGAAACATGTCCAAAATGCCTCTGTTGACGCGCCGTCCCCACAAATCCAGTTTGGCTTTAAATGCAGCTACTTTATCTGCCAACTTGAAGACAGTTGTCATTTTCCCCTGAAGTGACAGATTGAGTTCATTGAGCAGGCTGAATATGTCCACAAGTAAGCCAGTTTTGTAACCGAGAGAATGCGGTCATTTTTCAAAATAAAAGATCATTCATACTCAGATAATAAATAAAACGGAAATAATTAATGATTTCTTGTACGGCCCGGTACCAATTGATCCACGGACCGGTACCGGACCGCGGCCCGGGGGTTGGGGACCACTGGTTTAGATATACTCAGAATTAATTTGAACTGCCATCAGTAGCATTCATATTTGTGCTGTCTCTTTACATTAGCATGGTGTGTTTTATGAACATAAATTATTTTAAATAATAAACATTGTGGTGTTTTTGTTAACAATATAAGGACCTGTGCACTGTATAAAAGATCTAATCTTGAACAAATTATTTTTGTTTTAACAACGCACTGCATAGGAATATTGCAAAAGCATTGTTTATATTATTGCATTTTTATTTTATTGTGGAAAATAGATTTCTTTATGTTTTTGTACTCCAATTAATCACAGAAATCAACAGATTAATCAGTTATTAAAATAAATGTTAGTTGCAGCCCTAATTGTATTTGTATGAACTGTCACAAATTATATCAGTTAAACTGTAGCATTGCATAGGCCATAAACGGTAGAGCTTCCAGTGGGCTACTGTGGATGGATTTTCTTGAACATTTGAGTAACTTAGACTTGGGCTCAAAGCACATCAAAATTGATGACATTGCTTGGTGATCATCACATTAACTAACAATAATGTTTGTGGTTCATGAAAAAAAAATTAAAACCTTGAGTAGCTTTCCAGATAGAGATAACCAGTCATTGAGATAAGTTGGCATTCATTTCAGTGTAACGGGTACATCTGTAAAATGTCAGAGTTACACAACACCCATCAGGCTTTATGGTGTAGTATTTCCTGTGGTGCTACTTGCTTTGCGGTTCTACTCTGTGTGAAACTGACCCACCAGTGTAGCTTGCAGGGACAGGCCAGCGATGCAGCTGGCTTCCCCCCACCTCCCGTTACACTAGACCATTGCCCACTTGCAGTAAAGTGACATGATGGCTTAGATGCGTATTAACTTTGGCAGCTTTTATGACTGCTGTATTTAGACTGTCGTCTTGCTCAAGAGGACAATGATAGGGGAGCATGCGATTAACCAGTTCTTTTCTCAGTGTACAGAATCTTAGTTAATGGGTTGTTTTTTTTTTTCCAGGGTGAATTTGTACAGTCTCATTTTAATATTTAAATGATGGCATAGGCTGTCTCAGCATGTTAATTAATAATGTAGACCAATCCTAATACCTAAGCCTAAAAATCTAATTGTGTTAGCTTTGCTATAGCTAAATTACACATATTTTGTGTTTTATTATTTCCTGCTTTTAGGTATGGCCTCACAAGTCTTGGTCTACCCATCACACCTGCACTCAGCTCAAACAAGTGCCTTAGGAACAAGCAGCAGCGTTACCAGCAGACACACAGGTGAAGCCCACTGCAGTAATAACACCAGCAGAGCCTTTCAGCACCAACCCCCACCCAAAACCTATGTGATTGGAATCAATTACGGTATCGCCTATCCCAACAACGTCATCCCATCCTCAAACGCTGCTGATTCAGGAAGGCAGCACGTGGGAGTTCAGCTTGAAGAAAGGGAGGAGTGGGCATTACAGACGCCAGGATTACGGACAGAGGAGGGGTGGGAGAGACACGGAGTAGGTCCAGTTGAGATCCAGGATCAGGTGTTACTTTGCCAGGGCAGAGGCCGACAGGAAGTGAGGCCTTTCAGGGACAGTGGTGGAACTCCATCAGTAGGAAGCTTGGACTGTGGCCTATTTAGGAGGGCCTGTATCAGAGCAGAGGGCAGAAACAAAAGAATTCAAGTGAGAGGGGGGTACATTAACCTGCTAGACACAGGCTCCACCCAGAGATGTGAAAGTGGAGAACAACTGCTGGAGAACAGCTGCATCGGAACCATGCAGATAGTGGAGGAGGTATTTGCTAAACCTTCATTTCCTCCCCCTGTGGCCATGTTGCAAACCAGCACTGGGAACAATGCTGACATTACCAGAGTAGAGGGTTCAGGGACACTGCCTACTCAGCACAACAGGGTTGATGGAGTGACCCGTGTGGGAATTGGGGTGGACGGCACTGAAGTCAGGCCTGTTACTAGTACTGATGCAGTTGCAGGGGCTACAGTGACCAGGACCGACTCAGGAGATGGTGATTATCAGTTAGTTCAGCATGAGGTCCTTTGCTCCATGAAGAATAGCTACGAGGTCTTGGAATTTCTGGGTCGTGGTACCTTTGGTCAAGTGGTGAAATGCTGGAAGAGGGGAACAAGTGAAGTGGTGGCTGTTAAAATACTGAAGAACCATCCATCCTATGCACGTCAGGGACAGATTGAGGTGAGGATTTGATGTTTTTGTGGTGTGAGTAGAGCAAATGTATCTGTCAGCTTTTTAGTTAAATTTATGGATTAACTTTAAAATCGGTAGGAGTGGTGCCCTAGTGTATCAAAAGCCAAATGGGTCATGATTTGTCCCCTTTTAACTCCTGTTTGATGTTTTATACCTGTTTTATCTTGCCAGCCAGTGTTTAGGAACGCTGTAGAAAATGGCACTCTGCCTTTGTGAATGCTGCTCTGTGTACCTGTGCTGGGAGAAAGTGTTTTGGAGTCGGTGTTTGTGCTGGCATCTGTAAAACACAGTGGGCAAAAGGAGACAAATTGCAACCCTTTTGGCTTTCGACACTATTTGCTTGTGGCTGCAATTTTGTTTGGACATCAGCACATGACAGAACAACAGCAACACTAGTTCTGTTGCCATTTTTACTTGCAACAGAGATTGTGTTTGCTCTTTCCAAATACGGCGTTCTTTTACCAAAAATTTCTTTCCCCCCCCCCCCCTTGACCCGTGCCTGTTATTTCCTTCCTTTTTTGTGAATTCCCAGGTGGAGATCCTGGCCCGGTTGAGCAGTGAAAATGCAGATGAGCACAATGTGGTGCGTGCTCTGGAGTGCTTTCAGCACCGTAGCCACACCTGCCTGGTGTTTGAGATGCTGGAGCAAAACCTCTATGACTTCCTTAAACAGAACAAGTTCAGTCCACTGCCGCTCAAAATCATCAGGCCTGTTTTGCAACAGGTAAAGTGACCTTCTTTGCAATAGAGAACACAGCCTTGTGCTAAGCTAAGTGGCCAAAATGAATCAACAACACATTTCAAACTGTTGGCAGCCTGAGATTTAAAGAATGTTTTGGTAATTGTGGCTTTTGTTTTTATAGGGCTCTGGAACACGGACTGCTAGTTTTGAGCCCAGAAGCAAAGAATGCCAAACCTGCTCACACTGTGCTTATTTATGTCAATCTTTGCAGGTGGCAACAGCTTTAAAGAAGCTGAAGTCTTTAGGTTTGATCCATGCTGACTTGAAACCAGAGAACATCATGCTGGTGGACCCCTCCAGGCAGCCCTACAGAGTCAAGGTCATTGACTTTGGTTCAGCTAGCCATGTCTCCAAGGCTGTCTGCTCCACTTACCTGCAGTCCAGATACTACAGGTAAGGACCTTTTTATTTACAAATGATTCTCAGGGCAATATATCATTCACCAAGGTCTTATTTGTTTAATTAATCATTGTTTGGTTCACTATTAGAACCAGCTTTGCAGTGATATATTTATTTCTTTTTTTCCACCTTGAAAGTACCTGCAGCACTTTTTTTTTTTTTTTAGGGTTCTTCTGTGTAACCTATCATAGTTCATTTTAATTCCCACCAAATCCTTTGCTGCAATCATAAAGATTCATCAGACTAACCTTTGTCATTGTGAAAATTATTACAGGGATTCATTACACTGTTGCACTGTTACACTGGGGGGTTAAATTCCTTATTGTTCTCAAAATTCTACAAACAATACCCCATAATGACAATGTGAAAAAGGTTTGTTTGAAAATTTATTAAAAATAAAAAAACGAAAAAAAGCACATGTACATAAATATTCACAGCCTTTGCCATGACAGTCAAAATTGAGCTCTGGTGCATCCTGTTTCCACTGATCATCCTTGAGATGTTTTTACAACTTGTTTGGAGTCCACCTGTGAAAAATTCAGTTGATTGGACATGATTTGGAAAGGCATACACCTGTCTATATAAGGTCCCACAGTTAACAGTGCATGTCAGAGCACAAACCAAGCCATGAAGTCCAAGGAATTGTCTGTAGATCTCAGAGACAAGATTTTATCAAGGCACAGAGCTGGGGAAGGGTACAGAAACATTTCTGCAGCATTTAAGGTCCCAATGAGCACAGTGGCCTCCATCATCCATAAATGGAAGAACTTTGGAACCACCAGGACTCTTCCTAGAGCGGGCCGCCCAGCCAAACTGAGCGATCGAGAGAGAAGGGCCTTAGTTAGGGAGGTGACCAAGAACCCAATGGTCACTCTGAAAGAGCTCCAGCATTTCTCTGTGGAGAGAGGAGAACCTTCCAGAAGAACAACCATCTCTGCA